ACATCTACAGAGCCTTCGACAGATGTATAAAATCCATTTCCTTCTGCTTTAGCTATTCCTGGTGGGAGGGCTGGTCTGTGACAACCAAAACCAGAAGATCCAGACTGCAGAGTCTCATCTGGGCTCCAGCATTTCCTAATTGTGTGATCTTGGTTAAGTAACTTAACTTCTGAAAACGTAAAAATGGTACCTTTCTCATTGTTGCAAGGATTAAATGAGTTATGTAAAGTGCAAATATTAACATGCCACATATTACACATCCAATAAATATGAGTTGCTGTTTGTATCACCATTATTGATACAAATATCAATAACACTACCCAACTTAGATGGAAAAACTCTGAAGCTCAGGGAGATGAAGTAAATTCCCCAAGGTAACACAGCTAAAATGCAGCAGAGACAGGATCTGAAGCAAGTCTAACTCCGAAGTCCAGCTGCTTAACCCAAACGCTACACCACTCGCTATTGCAGATGCCTGATGAAAGGCTGTTAAGTGACTGAATAACTGTGAATAACTTCAGTCCTCAAGAGAGCCAAAGACTGAAGCCACACACCTGCCACCAAGAAACACAGAAGTGTGTTTTAATTAGTTAGTATACTAAACAGAAATATAAATGACATTTTTAAGAACTTTATTTTATAATAATTTTAGACACGGGCCACACACGGTGGTTCATGCCTGTAATCTCAGTATTTTGGGAGGCAGAGGTGAGAGGATTGCCTGAGCTCAGGGGTTCGAGATCAGACTGAGAAACATGGTTGAGACACTGTCTCTACAATAAATAAAAAAATCAGTCAGACATGGTGGTGCACGCCTATAGCCTCAGTTACTTGGAAGGCTGAGGCAGAAGGATCACCTGAGCCCAGCAGGTCGAGGCTGCGGTGGCCATTGAGTGTGTCTGCATTCCAGCCTGGGTGACAGAGTGCAATTCCAACTCAAAATAATAATAATAATTTTAGATTCATAAGAAATTCAAAACAAATGCATCCTTCCCCAGCCTTCCCAACAGAATAACATCCTACTAACCACCAAACATTATCAAAACCAAGAAGCTGACAGTTGGTCAACACTATTAACTAAACCACAAAACAGGCTCATACTTCGGCTGCACCAGCTTTGACCTTATTTTGTGTGTATTTCTTTATGTATGTCCTTTTGTTGGGTGTATTGTGCTACATATCCTATCACGTGTAGAGATTCATGTAATCAACACTGCCATCAAGGTGTAAAACTGTTCCATCACCACGAACTCTCCCTTGCACAGCCCTGCCTAGTCACACACACCCTCAGCCTTGGCAACCACTGACTAAACTGCATTTTTTAACATCTAAAATACAAAATAGCATATAAAAGTTACTACTTAAAAGACCACATAAAACAGCATTCCAATAGGTGTCACTGCTTGAGAGAATTCACAAACTGGCCCCTTCCATGAGTAACAGTGCCCTGCAAGAAATTTCATGTGAATGCACCTCGGAACATATCTGATGCAGAAATACAGCTTATGCGACTTCTTTAAGAATCTTCAGCATGAACTTGTCCTGGTGTGGTGGCTCATGCTTGTAATCTCAACAATTTTGGAGGCCAGGGTGGGAGGATTGCCTGAGTCTAGGAGTTTCAGACCAGCCTGAAAACATAATGCTAGTCTCTTCAAAAAATAAAAAAATAAGCTGGGCGTGGTGGTGTGTGCCTGTAGTCTCAGCTACTAGGGAGACTGAGATGGAAGGATCACCTGAGTCTAGGAGGTAGAGGCTGTGGTGAGCTGAGATCATGCTACTACACCAGCCTGGGTGACTAAGAGAGACTCCAACTCAGGAAAAAAAGAACTGGAAAGTTTTTTTATTTGTACTATTTCCTAAGCTATTTCTATTTACAGATTAATATAATTATGTATTTAAAATAATTTCTTTATTATTTTTCAATTAGCAAATGATAAAAGTCCTTACTTAACTGCAGATTTAGCTAAAAGAGAGAAAGGAATAAAGCATTCTTCTTTTGTTTTAGCAAATGATAATTGTGACAATGTTTACAGAGCTTATCATCATGGAAAAACTATGCTTACATTATCCTAATTCCCAAACTAAGTTATTTATTTATTTATTTTTGAGTTGGAGTCTCACTCTGTCACCCAGGCTGGAGTGCAGTGGCATACTCCCAGCCACCACTGCCTCAACCTGCTGGGCTCAGTCTTCCAAGTAGCTGGAACTACAGGCAAGTGCCACTATACCCAGCTAATTTTTTGATTTATTGTAGAGATGAGGTCTTGCCAAGTTGCCCAGGCTGGTCTCGAACCTCTGGGCTCAGACAATTCTCTCACCTTGTTCTCCCAAAGTGCTGGGATCACAGGCTTGAGCTACCGCGCCCGGCGCCAGACTAAGTTATTAAAATAAGTAAACTTACCAAGAAGCCAATTTGCAAGCTTCAAAGTGCTTTTAAGCTAAAAGGGACAAATGGGGAAGTAAGAAGAGACCAATATCATGTGTATTCAATGATGAATGACAGAGTCAAACCTTGAGATGACCACAGGAACTTCCAGCATTGACTGACAGGCGAAACATTACAACATAGGTGTAGGACACTCACTTGTGTTTTTTGGTGGATTTTTAAGCAACTTATGTTTGAGTCACAGTTATTAATTATAGTGACAAAGATGAGAAATGTTAATTAAGTGATGTATAAGGTATAAGTATCCATGGAAACAGTCATAGAAAGAGTCAAATGATCACAGGAGGCAAAATGAGACTGACCATCTGACGAGGTCATCATCAGAACCAGCTCTGCTAAGAATTAAAGCATATTCTCAAAATAGGGCAAAGAAAATAGGATGGGACTGGCCTGGGAACAGTACTAAGACTAGAGGAATAGAAGCTCCAAAAGTCTAGTATAAAAAGTCCCAGATGAAAGCCAGCATCCCAAGTCAATGAGAGTGAGTACAACGCGGACCAGCTATTCTGTGTGAACATAAAGCAGATCCTGAGACTTCATTCCTTATAACGAATTCCAAATGGATCACAGATTTAACTCAAAAGTAAAACCAAAACTGGCATAAGGACAGATATATGGACCAATAGGATAAAATACAAAGCCTAAGATAAACCCACCTGGGTGGGGTTTAACGGCTTTGCAATCAAAACGCCAAGGCTACTCAGAGAAAAGAAAGATGTTCAACAAATGATGCCAGGAAAACAGAATAACAACATGCAGAGGATGAAGCTGGACCTTACCCTTACACCACACACAAAGATGAACTCAAAAGAAATCCACATGTAAGAACTAAAACTGAAAAAAAAACCAAAGAATCTTCTGGAAGAAACCTCGGGCCAAGGCTTCATGACAATGAATTTAGCAGTGCTTTCTTGGATATGACAATAACTGTTCAGGCAATAAGAGAAACTGGACACCATAAACACTTTCAAAATTTGCATCAAGAAACAATATTGCCTGGGCACAATGGCTCATGCCTATAAACCCAGCATTTTGGGAGGCCCAGGTGGGAGATTGCTTGAGCCCAGGAGTTCAAGACCAGCCTGGGCAATATAGTGAAACCTCGTCTCTACAAAAAATAAAATTAGCTGGGTGTGGTGGCTTGCACCCCTAGTCCCACCTATTCAGGAGGCCGAGGTGAGAGGATCACCTGAGTCCAGGAGGTGAGCTGTGATTGTGCCACTGTACTTTAGCCGATGCTAAAGACTCCAACTCAAAAAACAAACAAACAAACAACAGAAGAAAACCCTACTGTTTAAGATGATTCAAAAGACAGGACTAAAAAAAAATACTGTAAAGAGAATGCAAAGTCAAGCCACAAATTGAGAGAAAATATCTACAGAATGAATACATGGTAAAAGGTAGTGGTCATGATTACATCAGTGACCTTCAGTTGGGACAACAGAGCAAGACCCCAGCTCAAAAATAAAATACAGTGGGGTGAAAGGTACAGGGGGAATAATCATACTATTCTAACATTTGAATATACTTTAAATTTCTATAGCAAAAATGTCTTAGAAAATATGGCAACAGAACCATATAGGTCTTCAGTCAACATACTATATAAAAGTGTGAAACAAAATCAATGCACATAGCACAGAAAAAGAATAATTTATCATTCATTTATTCCTTCTGCTTCTTTATCCTACCTAATGTACCCATTTTGTATATGGGTAAAAAATAAAAATATATACAAATAAAAATTCACACGATAGAATAGAAGGAGCCCATACCTGTATCACGTCAATTCCAAATCTTGCTTTTTTAACATTTCTTTTTTTTTTTTTGAGTCAGAGTCTCACTCTGTCACTCAGGTTGGAGTGCACTGGCACACTCACGGCCACCACAGCCTCGACTAGCTGGGCTCAGGAGATCCTTCCGCCTCAGCCTTCCAAATAGCTGGAACTACAGGAGTGCACCACCAAACCTGGCTAAAATTTTTTTTATTTATTGTAGAAATGAGGTCTTGTCATGTTGCCCAGGTTGGTCTGGAACCTGTGGGCTCAGGCAATCCTCTTGCCCCCACCTCCCAAAGTGCCGGGATTACAGGCATGAGCCATCGCACCCAGCCAATTCCAATTCTTACAAATCTTACCACAATTGTCAGTTTATTAAGATAATGGATTCCTTTCACTTCAAATTGTTTTTTATTTTGTTTGGCTTTTTGGGGGTTGAGATCTCGCTCTGTTGCCCAGGCTGGAGTGCAGTAGCACTTTCATGGCTCACCACAGCCTCAACCTCCTAGTCTCAGGCAATCCTCCTGCCTGAACCTCCCAAATAGTTTTCAATACAGGCACAAGCCACCACACCTGGCTAATTTTCTGGTCTATTGTAGAGACAAAGTCTTGCCATGTTGCCAGGGCTGGTCTTGAGTTCCTGGGCTCAGGCAATCTTTCCCCTTTGGCCTCTCAAAGTGCTGGGGTTACTGGCATGAGGCACCACACCTAGCCAAAACGATTTTTAATCATCTGTAGTCCCTTTCCAGACCTGGCTAAGCAGGATTGCATGTGCCATCATGGGAGTCGACATCCAACACAACAAGGACCGAAAGGTTTGGCGCAAAGAGCCCAAGAGCCAGGACATCTACCTGAGGCTGTTGTTCAAGTTGTACAGGTTTCTGGCCAGAAGAACCAACTCCACCTTCAACCAGGTTGTGCTGAAGAGGTTGTTTATGAGTTGCAGCAACTGGCCACCACTGTCCCTTTTCCGGATGATCCGGAAAATGAAGTTTCCTGGCAGGGAAAACAAGACTGCGGTGGTCGTAGGGACCATAACAGATAACATGCGGGTTCAGGAGGTACCCAAACTGAAGGTATGCGCACTGTGTGTGAGCAGTTGGGCCTGCAGTCGCATTCTCAAGGCAGGGAGCAAGATCCTCACCTTCGACCAGCTAGCCCTGGGCTCCCCCAAGGGCCACGGCACCATCCTGCTCCCTGGTCCTCATAAGGGCCAGGAGGTGTACAGACATTTCGGCAAGACCCTGGGAACCCTGCACAGCCATACCAAACCCTATGTCCACTCCAAGGGTCAGAAGTTCAAGCATGCCAGAGACCGGTGGACTAGCCGCGGCTACAAAAACTAACCCTGGATCCTGCCCTCTTATTAAAAAGATTTTGGAAGCCCTCATTAAAAAGAAAGATAATAATAATCGGTAGTCATTCATTTTCTCAATTTCTAGAAAATTTATCAAAAAGGATTTTACCAAAACCCATCAAATGACAGATGGCTTGTTTATCCTGATACATACAGAAATGGCTGGAAAAATGTTTAAATTGCTAACTATCTGGGTGATAACAACGCTCTTTATCTTTTTTTAGAGACAAAGTCTCACTCTGTCACCTAGGCTGACATGCAGTGGCACAATCATAGCTCACGGCATCTTTAAACTCCCAGGATCAAGCAATCTTTCTTCCTGAGCCTCAGAGTAGCTGGAACAACAGGTACACACTACTATGCCTGGCTAATTTTTTAAACTTATTTTTGGTAGTGACACAGTCATGCTTTGTTGCCCAGGCTGTTCTCAAACTCATGGCATCAAATAATCTTCCTACCTCAGCCTTATAAAGTTCTGGGATTACAGGCATGAGCCACCATACCGAGTCAATCTTAATTAATAATGGTTTGGATTGCACATATGTGTGCATTTGAACTGAACCCTTCAAATGGTACTTTCACATTTGTGTATTTCAGTATACGTACACTTTACCTTTAAAAAACCTCTAAACAAAAAGTAAACTCTGGTTGAGACGCTGATGAACTATTTGGGGAGACGCATATTAGATATGTGCAACTTATTCTGAAATGCATTAAGAAAAGTAAGACAGACTAGGCAACATGGCGAGACGTCATCTCTACAAGAAAATAAAAAACTAGCCAGGTTTTGTGGTGCACACCTGCAGTCCCAGCTACTTGGGGGGCGGAGGCAGGAGGATGGCTCCAGTCCAGCAGGAAGAGTCTGTGGTAAGCCAAGCTCATGCCACTGCCCTCCAGCCTGGGTGACAGAGTGAAACCTTGACTCAAAAAAAAAAAGAGAGATGATTAATGGATGGAAGGACAGATAGATATGTGATAATGCAAGTACAGCAAAATGATGAATTTAGAATTTAACTACAGAAGCTTCACGGAATTCTACCCAAGCTTCAAGACCAGAAGTCAGAGGAGCACAAGAAGTTCTGACACCAGAGAAAAAACACTTTTAGTTAACTACCTGTGCATGGCATATGCCCTGAATACTTTGCAGGGCACTCAGGCACATCCTGTATCTAAGTGGCTGTGTGAGCTCAACTGCTTACCATAGGCAGGACAAACGGAAAGACGTGCTATAAAATAAAGGTCAAAGAACGAGAGTGCTCACCTGGAAAGGAGAGCAAAATCAACATGATGTAGGTGTAAGAATGTACAGGGTAATTGGCACAGACTCTCAAAAGTAAAGAGAAGACGTTTCTAAAGGTGTGCTCATGTTCATCATAAAAACATTTTTTTAACGTGCTAACATTACATGAAAGGTGACCACAGTTTACAGTTTTGTAATATTCGCCTACTCTAAATAAGACCAATATTAATGGGAAAGAAAGAGTTCTCTAGGATTCTAACCTTCATTTCTATTTTGATTTTAGATGTAAGTTCTATGCTGTCCAGGCTGGCCTCAAACTCCTCAAGTAATCCTCCCGCCTCAGCCTCCAGAATAGCTGGGGCTACAGGTACAAGTCACCATGCCTTAATCCTCATTTCTTTGATTCAATCTCCCAGAACCTAAGCAAACCCTATATTCCTTGAAGTTCGATTCTCCAAAAGTTCAATTATCCTGAATACTTTCTGACCAGTTTTGGTATGAATCACCAGCCTGGCTTCACTCTTCACACAAAGTCACCTACCTTAAATAGAATATGGTTTCTCCAACCTAGAGGAGAAATGAAAAAAACGTTTTTTAAATTTAACTTAAAACTACAGATGGACATTCCACTACTAAAATGAGAACAAAGCCGGGCTCAGTGGCTCAGCCTGTAACCCCGTGCCTTAGAAGGCTGAGATGAGTGAATTGCCTGAGCCCGCAGGTTCGAGACCCGCCTGGGCAACTTCGTGAGACCTCGTCTCTACAATAAATCAAAAAATTAGCTGGGTGTGGTAGCACGTGCCTGTAGTTCCAGCTACATGGAAGGCTGAGGCGGAAGGATCGCCGGAGCCCAGCAGGTCGAGGCTACGGTGGCCGGGAGCGGCCACTGCACTCCAGTCTGGGCGACAGTGAGACTCCAACTCAAAAAAAAAAAAAGAAAAAAATGAGAACAAGATTCAGGAATGACCTAGAAGCTGCAACCATCTGTTAATGGCTTTAACTATGATTAATACGTACAGATACTTTTTTTTTTAGTCAGAGGCCCACTGATGCCCAGCCTGGAGTGCAGTGGCATACTCACAACCACTGCAACCTCAACCTGCTGGGCTCAGGCGATCCTTCCGCCTCAGTCTTCTAGGTAGCTGGAACCACAGGCGTGTGCCACCACACCCAATTAATTTTTTGATTTATTGTAGAGATGAGGTCTCACCAAGCTAGTTTCAGGCTAGTCTCAAACCCCTGAGCTCAGGCAATCTTCTGGCCTCCGTCTCCCAAAGTGCTGGGATGACAGGCGTGAGCCTGAACTACTGTGCCCAGCCTCAACTATGATTAATATGTTAATAAGCCTAGCAGGGGAGGCAGATAACACACAATGAATATACAGGGAATTTTAGCAGAGAGATAGAAACTGTAAGAAAGAGTTAAATGGAAATGCTAGAAACAAAAAAATATATATATCATGATCAGGGATAAAGAAGTCCTTCAATGAGCCCACTTGTAGACAGACTCCCAACAACTAAGGGAAGAATCAATGAATTTAATAATATATCAAGAAAATTATCCTAGCTGAAACACAAGAAAAAACATACTGGCATAAAACAGAGTTGAGCATCCAAGAGCTATAAAGCTCTGAGAGTCTATTGTCTTTGAAATTAGAGTCCTGGGATGAAAAGAGAAAATGAATAAGGCTTAAGAAATATTTGAAGAATAATAGCCAAGTTTTCTGAAAGAAAAAGATCAAGTCATAGATATAAGAAGATTTCAAAATCAGGATAAACATATTTTTTAAAAATTAGCAACAACAATAAAACACAACACACATTTAGACATGAGTAAAACCACAGAAATCCAAATAAAAAATCTTGAAATCTAAAAATATTACATAGAGAAATAAAGATAAAATATTATAGTACACTTCTTGTCAGACACCATGCAAACTAGAAGGCAACAGAGTGACATCCTTAAAGCACTAGGAGAAAAACTATCAACTCAGAATTCTTTACCCTCTGAAAATATCTTTCAAAAATAATGGCAAAATAAGAATTTTATTTTTATACAGGATCTCTGTCACCCTGTGAAGCAGGAGTGCAGTGGTACAATCACAGCTCACTGCAGCCTCCAACTCCTGGGCTAAAGTGATCTTGATGCCTCAGCCTCCTAAAGAGCTGGGACTACAGGCACACATTACCACACCTGGCTAATTTTTTGCATTTATTTTTTGTAGAGATGAGGTCTCACTGTGTTGTCCAGGCTGGTCTCGAACTCCTGAACTCTTCCACATCGGCCTCCCAAAGTGCTGGGATTATAGACATGAGCCACCATATCCAGACGAAACAAATATATTTCTTTTTCTTTTTTTTTTTTGAGTTCAAGACTCACTCTGTTGCCCAGGCTGGAGTGCAGTAGCACGCTCACAGCCACCACAGCCTTGACCTGCTGAGTTCAGGCAATCCTTCCACCTCAGTCTTCCAAGTAGCTGGAACTACAGGCATGTGCCACCATGCCCGGCTAATTTTTTGATTTATTGTAGAGATGAGGGCTCGCCAAGTTGCCCAGGCTGATCTCGAACCTGTGGGTTCAGGCAATCCTCTCACCTAGGCCTCCCAAAGTGCTGGGATTACAGGCATGAGCCACTGCACCTGGCCTGAAATAAATGTTCTTCAAACAAACAAAAGCTGAGAGAATCTACTGTCAGTAATCTTTCATTAAAAGAACCACTAGGCCGGACATGGTGGCTCATGCCTATAATCCCAGTGCTTTGGGAGGCCAGGGTGAGAGGACTGCCTAAAAACAGGTTCGAGACCAGCATGGGCAACTTGGTGAGCCCTCATCTCTACAATAAATCAAAAAATTAGCTGGGCAAAGTAGCGCGCACCTGTAGTTCCAGCTACTTGGAAGGCTGAGGCGGAAGGATTGCCTGAGCCCAGCAGGTTGAGGCTGTGGTGGCCGTGAGTGTGTCACTATACTCCAGCCTGGAGGACAGAGTGAGACTGATTCAAAAAAAAAAAATTAAGATTAAAAAATAAGTAAATAAAAGAACCACTAAAGAAAGTTCTCTAGAGAGAAGTCTGACAACAGTCTGAGATTTGGAGCTACATAAAGAAAGAAAGTATGTAGGCTACGGTTAAGATGGAAGCAAATGAAAACTTTTTTTTTTTCTTATTTTTAGTTACTTCAACAAGGTAATTTTGACTACAGTTAAAACAGTAAAATGGATTATGCAGCTTATACGATGTAAAAGTAAAATATTTAACAATGACAGCACAGAGGATGGGAGGGAGGAAGTGGAAACACTACCATAAAGTTCACCCCCAACCCCAGGTCAGCAAGAGACTCAGCAAACCCTTCCTGTAAAGTCATTTTCTTAACCTACTTACAGGGACATCAGAAAGTGTGCCCTACACACTTCAGCTACTCTTGCTTCTTCTCTCACTCCTTCCTTCCCTTTCTCCTCTCAACCCTTCTCTTCCCTCCTCTCACATCACTCTTTCCCTCTCTCCCACTTCTCTCATTCTTTCCTTACTCTCTCTTATCCTTCCTTTCTCCCTCCCTCTCCTCTCACTCCTTCCCTCCCTCTCCCCCACCACTCTTACCCTCCCTCTTCCCAACACCCCTTCCCTCCTACCCTCTTCCATCACACCTTCCCTCCCTCCCTCTCCCACTCCTTTCCCTCCCTCTCTCTCCCATTACCCCTTCCCTCCCTCCCTCCCCTCTTATTCCTTCCCTCTCCCCCTCCCATCACTCCTTCC